GCTTCCCTGAACCACTTTGGAGCCCACAACAGCGGAACCGTTGGTTCTAGATTCTGAGGAAGAAGTCGACGCCACTCTCGACGATTCATCTTCCTCTGGGTCATCTACTCCTATCGACTGCTCTGGTCTTCCCCATCTCTTTGATCGGGACGATCAGGTTGACCGCCATCTTGACGAGGACGACGAGTACGGCCAGTGTACTAATCAACCTTGTCCCAACCGCAACGCAGTCCCTGGACATCTACCAGGCCCAAGTAATTACTGGGCAGATCCTATAGAACCTCACCAGTTCGCTCCGCTTCCTCAGTCTGTCTCCCCATCTCCTGCACCTACTCCTCTCCCTCCGGTTTCACCAGTCCTCTCGCCAGCGCATCTCGAATTTGCGCTTCCACCTCTACTGCCCTCTCCAACTCCATCCATCGACCTAGACTTTGGCGAGGACTTCTCTGATTCTCCCCAATTCTTCCTCTATACCATGGGAGATATCAAACCGGATTCTGTTCCCATCCTCTCTTCGGCCGCTCAGTATGCGGACTGGGCTGCCAAGATGAAGGGCCTTCTCATGTTCATGAACTGCTGGGAGGTTGTGTCAGGTTCTGCCACACAGCCTGCTGCTGCTCAAGCGGATGCCTTGAAGGAGTGGAAGAAGCAAAACGCTCAGGCGTGCGGTCTGCTTTTCATGCGGACTGGCCCTAGCTTCCACTACCTCCTCGAGACCACAACCCAAGATCAGACCGACGGTGCAGCCCGTGCCGTCGCTGCCACTCTGACTGCAAAGCAGATGTGGGATGCGCTGAAGTCCAAGTTCGGTACCCCGAACTCAGCGCATGTCTGGGGTCTCTTCGAGTCGCTGATCAGCGAGTCCCGCATGTCGGACCAGCGTTCACTTCAGGACCAGATGAGCCGTGTCGTCACTCGCCTTCGGGAGATTTCGACCAATGGCATCGCCCTGACCGAGAAGATCCAGGCTCTCATCTTGCTGTCCAAGGTGCCTGACTCCTACCGCTCTATGATCTCTGCGCTCATGGCAACGACGGAGCTTGACAACCTCACCGTCGACGTCATCCTCGCCAAGACCCTCGCTGAGGAGTCTATGCGCAAGAACGGTCAGGCCGCCTCTCGCATCTCGCAGACCAAGCCTAAGAAGACTGGCCCTTGTGGACATTGTGGCAGTCAGACCCATCACGAGTCAACTTGCTACAAGAAGCATCCCGAGCTTCGTCCTCAGGGCAAGGACAAAGGCAAGAAGAAGGACAAAGGGAAGGGAAAGGACACTTCGAATAACCATGCTCACGTCGCTGCTCCATCTGCCAATGTACTTGTAGCCGAGTCCGCTGTCGCGGCCGCTGAAATGCACGCTTCCTTCTATTCTGCGGCTAACGCCGCTGGTGTGAGGCATACGCGTTGGCTTATGGACTCTGGAGCCTCTCAACACGTCACCTGGTGCCGCGCAGACTTTGCCACCTACCAAGACTATGACACCCCCATTAACTTCAGTACCGCCGCTCAAGGCGCTGGGAGTGTTGTTCAAGGTGTTGGTGAAGGCACGGTTAAGGCTCAGACATTTATCGACGGGGTCAAGTGGGAGATTACCATGCCTAACGTCTGCTACGTCCCTCGGGCGTCGACACGGCTCTTCTCCACTGGTACCATTGAGCGTAACGGTTATTCGCTCTTCCAAGGAGACGGGAAGATGACCATCTTCGACAAACTGCCCAAGGGCTCTGTCGTTCATGGTGCTACGGTCTCTATTCCGGGACATAAGGTCCTGGAGGCGGCTTATATGCCCCATTCCAATCTCTATGAGTTAGATCTCGAGATTGCGGCTAGTCAGACCGTTAACCCTGCCGTTCGCTCCTATAAGACCTGGCATCGTCGCTTTAGACATGCAGGCAAGGAGGCGCTTTCTAAGCTACCTAAGAACGTGAAAGGTGTTGATGCTGTCGATCCTCCGAACAGTGAGCCTTGCGAAGGATGCGCCTATGGCAAATCTCATCGCTCCTCCTTCCCGCCTTCAGAAAAGCGTGCAAGCGAACCTCTTGAGCTTGTTCACACTGATCTGGACGGTCCGATGCGAACCCAGTCTATCAACGGGTTTTTGTACTTTGCGGGCTTCATTGATGATTATTCCGGTCTCGCACGCGCCTACTATCTGAAGCATAAGTCGGACGCACCTCGCGCCTTCGATGACTTCAAAGCGTGGGCTGAGAACCAAACCGGGAAGAAAATCAAGCGAGTCCGTTCGGATCGAGGGGGGGAGTACACCTCTAAGGAATTCACTGATCATCTTCGCTCTCTGGGGATCGAGCACGAGAAGACCATGCCGAAGTCGCCACAGCAGAATGGACGTGCTGAACGCTGGAACCGTACTATCGTCGAGAAGGCCATGTCCATGCTGCACGAAGCTGGACTTAGCCACGGTTTCTGGCAGCTCGCCGTTGAGGCAGCCGTTCATATCTACAACCGTCAGCCCATGCGTCGCCTTAAATGGCGCTGCCCCATTACGGTCTGGGATGGGACCATCCCTGATGTGTCCTACTTCCGCGTTTTCGGGTGCAAAGCATACGTGCATGTGCAGAAGTCAGA